TTACTGGTGTGCACAACTGTGCCTAGCTCAAACCATCTCTTAATAATAGGCTCTGAAACTTGATCAGAAATGATACTCAGCCCTCTTATTCATGGTTTTTGGATGGCATCTTCTCCTTCGTGGAGACAGAAATTATCTCCTCCATCTCCCACCTTCAGGCACACAGTTTATGCCCCAAGCCAGCATGTGTAGGGGTTTGCAAGCACTGCCGCTTACTAGCTGTCATTTAACCTGTTTCTCAACTTTCATCATCAGAAAAATAAGGAGAACAATAGTACCCAGATGGTAGTGTTGCTATAAAGATTAAACCAACTTATTCCTGCAAAGAATTTACAACATGACACATAATAAGCATTTTAAAAAATCACAAAATTTTATCAAAAAATAAGTACTGTCACTGAGCGGACACCTCATCCTGTCCCCAGGGATGCAGCCTTCCCAAGAATGCAATTTGAAATTATTTCAAATGATTCCAGCCTGTTTTCTGTTCTCTGGCTCATAAAACACAGCAGCTCGGTTAGCCTCAGACTGCCTTCATGGGCAGCCGGTCCCACCCTCCTCCTTGTCCCTTACTATCACCTTGGGCAGTTTAAAAGAGCCCACCTTACCTCCTACCAGCCTTCCTTCAAGTTCAAAGCCAACATTCTGTCTGTGTGTAGTTCATTCAGTAACTACTTAATGAGCTCCTTCCTTGGGCCACACACTGTGCTAGAGCACAGGGAAGAACAAGATAGAAAAGTCCCTGCCCCAGAGAGCTTACAATCCAGCGGGGGACACAGACAATGAATAAATGGACAAATAAGATAGTTGCACAGTCACTGGAGCTTTGAAGGGAAGTCAGATGGCAATCGGCATGCCTCAAGTCAGATGGCAATCGGCATGCAGAAAGGCTTTGCAGGTTGCCTGAAACTAAATCAAATTGCACACCAATCATGTCCACATCTCTCCAGAGTGCTCCCAGGCAGCTACAAGCCTCTTTCTCCTTCCCTGCAAGCAGTCACAACTATACACTTGGAATTTTATTGTTGTATACTTCCCAATACTCTTGCCTCAAGATTTTGGGTTCTTTCTGTCTTTACAGTATTTGAAATCTGCTCTCTGGAGTCCAGGGGACTT